GATCATTATAAATTCAGCGACTACACGGTTATTCTTCTCTGTTGGCTCCATTAGCCTGCTTCCTACTAGTCTTTTCTAGGGCTGCACTAACAGCAATATCCCAAGGGGACTGACTTTAACAGACATGTATTTCCTCACAGTCGAGGAGGCTAGAAATCCGCATCCAAGCACCAATGCAAGAAGGTTTTCTCTCTGTGTCAACAGTGGAGGGGTCTTTGTCTCGTCTGAGCTTCTGCTCTTGCGCAATCTTCAAGTGGCCTATCATTCCCTGCTTCCTTAATCTGCTCCTTTTATATATGGTAAGCAACGATTGATTCAAAATCCATCCTTACATTATTAGAATAACAAAATAATCCATCCCCAATGAGATTTTAAAGATTAAATCTTTATGGAAGTAGACAGCTTCATCTTTCTCCCTTGGAGCAGCTGGTGGGTTTAAACTGCTGACTTTGCGGTTAGCAACTCCACATATAAAGACCATCAGGGCTCCTATATAGGGTTTTCATAGCCTCAGAAATCAATGTCTCTTTACAGGAGCAGGCAGTCTCATCTTTATGCCAAGGAGTGATTGGTGGATTTGAACCACTGACCTTTTGGTTAGCAGTCCAACACTTACTGGACAGCACCTTCAGCGCTCCTAATCTCAGACATAGAGGTTAAGATTTACAACATATATTTGGGGGGAACACAATTGAATCCATAATATTACTTTGAGGGCCAGTCTCATCTTTGTTTATTTCCCAGTGATTAGCTAAGCCTCTTTTAGTAGGCACTAATCAATGATTGTAAAATATAAAGAGGGTGGCAAGGTAGATATGGGACATTTTCAGAAGTAGCCAGATTTATTACCCAGTTGCCAAGTGGGCTGTATTTTCTCATTTAAATACACATGTATAGACACACACACATGTATAGACACACACACATACACCTACCATACTATCTAATTTTCTTGTTTTCTTAACTACATGTGAATTATGGTCTCATCTTAGAAATGAGGAAAATGCAAAAAAAATGGACAAAGGAGTGAATAGTGACTGGTAGTCTGGGTAGACCAGGAAAACAATTTCATAGACACTCATACGTGTATAAAAAAGAGCTTTATATACAAGAGCAGTTGAATATTGAGAGCACATCCCAGCCAAGTCCAGATCAAGTCCATACATCCGATATTAGCCCATATGTCCAATACAATACCAATCTATAATGTCCTCTTCAGAGTCATGAAACATATGCAATGATGCCAAATGCAGGAAGATCACAGGCCAGTGGGTGGGAAGTATTGTGGATCCAGTGGCATTGTAAACATCTCAGCACTAGCAGGGGTCTCCATGTGGCTTCTCCAGCTCCAGAGGTCTGGCTCCATCAGCCTCTCTCCATGTGTCTTCTCAACAGAGATGTCTCACAGGAAATCAGCAGTGAGAGAGAGTGTCTCCTGCCTCCAAGGAGGAATATCAGAATTCCTAGAATCCTCAGGAGAAGGCCATGCCCACACAGAGACTTCATTGGCTTAGATCTGATTGACAGGATAAACCCCACCCCTTCACTCTTAATCTGCAAATTGACCCCCGATTATGTAACTACCACAGTGACCACCTGCAATGCCATCAGTAGCCCTGGTGGTTACACCTTTGGCTGTGATCCGAAAGGTCAGCAGTTCAAAACCACCGACTGCTCCACAGGAGAAAGAGAGGGTTTTCTTCTCCCGTAGACAGTTCAAATCTCAGAAAGTCACAGAGGCAATTCTACTCTGCCCTACGAGGTCGCATTGATTGGTGGCAGTGAGTTTGTTTTTGTTTTGTTTGGGGCGCAATGCCATCGCTCAGAGGGAGTCTCTGCTAACATTTTTGTGCAATTCCTCCTTCCCTGGGTGGCATTTCACTCTTCCCCTTCCAATCCGGGTTGCCCTCCTTCACTCACCCTGAGCTAGCATTTCTCCTAGTGTCTTCTCTCAGTGCCTGCACTAACGTGTTGGTTTCCTGGTTTTTGTTCTCTGCAGCACTCATCTTTCCCACTAATAATCTCCAAGCAATGCTACAATTCACCCTCCTCCTGATCTACATGATCGCTCCATAATCAACTCTGAGATGTCAGGAACCCCAACTCTGGTGACCAGGCACTACATTATTCTTACACCTGAAGTGCAGCTTCCAAACCTGTCTCCCTCAACCCAAACTGCCTTGGATTGTCCACTTTATGAGTGTCCTAGGAGCCCTGGTGTTGCAGCGGTTAGGTGTTGGGCTGCCATCTGCATGGTCGGCAGCTTGACAATACCAGCAGCTCTAAGGGAGAAACTGGGCTTTCAATTCTGGCAAAAAAAATTACAATGGCAAGGGGGTCCTTCTGAATGTCATTATAGTATACCAATTCTCTGCAGTCACCAGTTTCCTTCTAGAAGCTGTACAAATCTGTATATACAACGAAAATTCACAAGATGTGGACACCTATATTTATCAGCGTTCTCTCATATAGACATGTTAAAACAACAGCATTGTGTTTTCACATGGATGTCCAAATTGTTCTATGCGTTGAGTACCCCCCCCCACCCCAATGGTGAGAGAGCTCTTACTGTCCTTGTCTTATCAGAGTGGAGACCACGTCACAGAGAAACTAAAAGAGCACCTGCTTCGACTCCGGGTGGGGCATTTCCACATATTCCACTGTATTTGGTCTTAAAAGCACAACTCATTCACTTTCATTTTAAATAATAGGAAAATGGGTTTCCTAGAAGTGAAATCCCAGTGATGGAATTGCAGCATAAATCCAAATCAAAAAGCCCTGTAATCAAACCGAAAGTTTATGCTCACTTACTCCAGGTCATGAAAAAGTTAGAAGCTGAAGAATTTAACACAAAACCCCAATTCCCAGCCTAATGCTCCTTCCAGGAATGATCCTTATTACTGTCGCTTGTCAGCACCCAGGAAAGCCACAGAACCAGCAGCACAGGTAACCACAGACAACAATGGGCACTGAGAGCACCGTCATGTAGTCGCTTCTGACTGAGAGCAACCCTATAGGGCAGGGCAGCTCCCTCTGGGTTTCGGAGCACGTACATCGTCGCCGTGAAAGCAGAAATCTTCATCTTTCTCCCATGGAGCGAGTGGTGCTTCCCAACTTTTGACTGTGTGTCTAGCAGCCTAACCCTTAACTTACAGTGCCAGCCAGGCTCCTCTCCTAGAGAAGAGGCCGCTCAATTCATCTGGCAAGCCTCAAAAATCCTCATAGCTAATTGCAAAAGCATATTGCATTTATATTCTATGTAAATATAATTGACAGGGCCTGCAGATGGACTATAGATTGTCTTACTAGTTTACCTCCGAGCCCAGGAGATAAACCCAGTAGACTTTGGAAGCCAAGAAGCATGGGCGCTTTCACTACTGATGGTACTGCAATGTGCTTTGGCTAAAGCACAGAACTGAAACCTTACAAAACAAACAATATAGGAATCGGCCAAAATGGTTCAAAAGGTCACATGAGCTGTTTTATGGTTTATGGCTCACTATTTATGGGCGTTCCTGCTGCCTGGGAGGGGCATGCATGCAAAGAATTCTAGAAGGCCAGAGCTAGAGGGACAAGATGAAAGACTCATCTTTGTCTCGGTTTGTTTGTTTGTTTGTTGTTCAGACTCACAGCAACATAAATAACGGTACCAATGATCTCATTCAGTCTTGAGAAGAGTTGGATAATCCCAAACCTCCATTATTAGTAATTAATAAAACACCAAAATCTCCTACCTAGTTCCACAGTACAAAAAAATATATGTTCACAATCAAAGATAGAAGTGATTTCTGAAATAGAAACGGTGTTACACTGTACTTGGACAGAAGACACCATTTTAAAACCACTTTAAAATCTTCCTGGACCATAGTCTGTAACTGAAGGGACAATCCACAGGTGTGTGAACTTGGTGAAGTGACACTATTTCTCTGAAGCTAGTTTTCCTGTAAAAAGGGGGACTCTCCTGCCTATCTCACATGACAGGTGTGCGGATATAATGAAATAAGGCCCACCAGGTATCTCATGCAGACAGCTACTTGATGAAAGAGCGCTTGATGGTAGTTAGAGGGTTCAGGAAACTCTCATTTGAGGTCCTTCCATGGTAGAAAAGCTTAAGCACTGAACTGCTGACCAAAAAACTGGTGGCTGCAACCCCCCCTCCCCCCCCCAAGAGACACCTAAGCAGTGAGACTTGAGAAAGTGCTTTCTGGAGCGTCAGTCTTAAAAACGGTGGCGTGTGGGTTCAACTCTGTGCACATGGGGTGGCCAGGAGTCGGAATTGGCCCATTGGCGATGAACAAAGGCAACATGACAAAACTGCTGCACCAAGCCCAGAAGTTACTCCAGCCTGGTGGCTACTCCTGGCTTCTTCCCCACTCCCTCAAAGGCTCGAGTTCCCCCCTGGATAGCCAGTGCAGGCTAACCGCCGCTGAGCTGATGACTCAGAGCTTGGAATCCATCCACAACAGGCTGCAGAGCAAGGAGCCGTTTAAGTCTCAGCCATTAAGTTATTACCTTTCTTTTCTCTTTTCTTTTAAGGGCTTGTGGCTGGACAACTTTCAGTGCTGAGAGGAGACCCCAGTTTAGAAGGCAGACCACACACAGGACACAATGCCCCAAAGTCACTGTCCTGGAGGGTCTCCGGGCTCACTAAGACCAGGACCCTACTGCAGCTGGCCAAGGCTGCCCACCCCCACCCCCACCCCCCAGGAGAGATGCAGGACACAGGAGTGCTCCCAACACTGCCCCCACCTGCTCAGAATTGATCCTGGGTTCTTTCTCTGCAGGCTCAGAGAAACCCCAAAAGCCCCAGGCTTTTCAAGGACTTTCTCTCCTCTTTCCAGGAACTCAAGCCTTTTGCTTTCTCGGCGGGGCCACTGAGCAGCTGCTACCAGAGGCAGGGCGTCAGGGAGCCCCCAGTGGCGGTGGCCCTTCCAGTCCGCATGAGCCGCGGAGCCAATGCCACAGATCCTGCTCCTCTGACTCAGGCTCACGGGGGGCTTCTGTCTCAGGATCAGAAACCCCGTTTCGGGAGCAAAGCACAAATCCCCCTGTATCGGAGGGAAGAGGTGGGGACTGGATGTCGGGGGCGGGAGGGGGGTATTCCGACTTTGGGCCATAAATTGTATGCAAATGCGTTCCTTTCCTGGCAGAGAGCGAGCGCGTCTTTCATGAGCTCACCGGATTCCGCTGGGAGGGCTGTGCCTTTAATTCACCAACTGAAAAGTGGAAAAGGATATCTGGAGGCGAGGAGGCGTCCCATTACACAGGAAGGCGCTCCCTATATAAGCCAGCCAAAGCTGGCTGCGCTGGCCACAGCCTGCCTACTGTCACAAGCCTCTCTCTAGGCGGGCAGGCACAAAGACAGTGCTTCGTGGTGTGACCCAGGAGAGCGCATGTGGCCCCCCTGCTGCCGCTCATTCCCAGGTACGTGCCTCCTGGAGCTGGTTTCCTGGAGGATCTAAGCTTCCCACCTCCGGAAAGGTAAGTAAAAATCGTGATGACCCCACTGTTGGCAGTTCTCGTACCCAAGGTGCTGTCCAGTGGTAAGGGAAAAACAGCCGCTTTTTCTTATCTGCCGGCAAAAGGGGATAGATAGCTCTATGGAGTGCACCTTGCTGGATCTGTTTGCCCTATCCAAACAGCGTGTGTGTGTGTGTGTGTGTGTGTGTGTGTGTGTGTGTGTGTGTGTTTAGCTGTATGAACGATCATGCTTGCACAGGACTTTGTGTAAGTTTTCCTCTGTGGCGTCTTCCCTGACTGGCTGCGTCACCTGTGAATCTTTGGGGTTTGAGGAGTGAAGATGGACAGATGAGTTGACTCCGGTTGTTTCACTCTGGGGGTGTACAGCCCTTACCTTAGAGTCTCCAAGGGGGTCTGTGCTTCTCCTTGTATGCAGCCTCTCCTTGCAACCCCATCATAGAGACCCTGTAACCACGGGGTTGACAGGGAGAAGAACAAGTACGGATGACGGGGGGCTTGGGGGCCACCGGTTTCAATTCTTCGGGGCTAGGGGACTCCACATGGACCCCTCTTGATTCACAGCATGTGCGCTTGGTATCTGCAACACTTGGAGCCTGCAGTCACCCGTTTCTCTCTCAGATTGCAAACACACACACACACACACACACACACACACACACACACACACCCCAAGCTCCCCTCTGAAAGCTAAAAGACTTGAGGACTACCTTTCTTCGGGGCTGGGGGTGTTACCATGGGTCAATAAACTGTGCAGAGAAAGTGTGGGTTTCTCTGTCCCAACAGGTTGTACTGGGACTGAGCACTCAAAGTTGAAGCTCGAAGAAACTTAGTACCTTCTCCCTTCTCTCATCCCACCAACACACACACACACACACACACACACACACACACACACACACACACGCCACCTCTCTGAACCTGAGTTTCTACTTCTCCAAAATGGAACACTCACTTCTGAGGTCATGGGGAGAAAATGAGATGTAGCGGGACGGGCAGAGGTAGCTCTCCATCTCTGGGACATTGGCTGCTCACTGTCATTTCTGAAACCTGCCATCAACGGGGCAGCAGCTGAAGGGGCCCCCTAGCCCATGATGAATTGTGTCTTGTGAGTTCCCCACCACTTGCTTTCTATCTCACCTGGTCTGGGAGTGTCTCCCTAGGCTGGCAGGTCAGAGAGTTGGCTATTTTGACAAGCAAGAGGTCATGTCGGCACAGGTCTGGAGAGAAGGTAACAACAGCCTGGGGGTGGTTATAAATGTTAGGCCTGACTCCAGAAAGTCGTGAAGCTTTGAGTCTGGGCATTTTCAGATTCTAAAGCTCTTGGCTAAAGTGTGATGCTGCCAAGGACTTTGAGAAAGCTGTCGAACTTTCTGTTCAGAGAGAAAGAGAGAGAGAGAGAGAGAGAGAGAGCAGGACCTGGAGCCCTCCCTGACTGAGGGAAAATGAAGCTGTCTCTCTCATAGTTTTGTGAACTCCACCCACCCTCCACCCACCACACTGGTTTAATGGAGCTTCACCATATGTGTGTTAGACATACACACTTCTGCCCACCCCAGCCATGTGTTGACTGCTGTGCCCTGCAATGTGGCAAGCACACAGCTCAGGACTGGTGAGAGGGTTGTTCCGTGCAAATAAAGGAGTGAAAAGTTGAGCACCTGAGCCTTTGCCATTGGTACATGTTGATGTGCTCTGGTCTTGTTCGCTTCAGCACGGGAGTGGCATTTGGGACTAGAGAAAGGAGAATGATGTGATCAGCCTCAGGTTTGCTAGGATGGGGTGAGTGAGTTAGAGTTGAAAGGTGTGTTGCCAAACACTATTGTCTTTAAAGAGCCTTCTGATCTTTATCCCCTCTCTGCTCTGACTAATTGACCCTTGCTTCTGTATCTCATCTCCACCAATAGTCTTCCCCCTGGTTTAGAAGTTACAACCCTTCCAGCCCTGGATTTTTGTCATCCCCATAAAGAGACTAACGATCTCTAATGCATAGCTTCTTGTGTCATGGTAAGAGCTGAATAGATGCAGTCTTTTATTGGTTTTCCTGCTTATCAATTGACAGCACTTGCTCAAGATTAACATTCTAAAACAATTCGGTTTACCAGCTTACATTTAGCAACTCACTAAAGGAAATTGAGGGAAGCTCTCATACATGAAACAGTGAAATTTGGGGATGCTTTGGTTGACATGAGACATTGTCTAGAAACTTGATAGTCACAAATTACAGTTAAAAATCATGAAGCAGGACAGTGAGTGCTCAGACTGTCATCCTACATGTTGAAAATACGTTTGCCCCCACGTAGCCCTCAGCATTAAAGAGTGCAAGAGTCATTTCCCAACTCATACAGTAGACATGACTATGGGTAGGAAGTTTAAAGCACTTAAAGTATGGGTGTTCCTTTGAAAAGAATAACCTGGTAATTGTAACAAGAGTCAAGGTGTAAGGAGAATGAACCCTCCACATGGCAGGCATGCTTCTCACTGAGTGTCATCACCATGCGAGGCACGGACGAGACCTATTCAACAAAAGAAGGCTTGAAGATCAGAGAGATTGAATAGCTAGTCCAGAGTCATAGAACTCAGGAGGAGCAAGGGAGCCAGTTTCTGGACCCAGGGCCCGATGACCACCAGCTCAGAGACATGCTCTGCCACGTTGTTCTAAATAGTTTAGCTTTGGGGGTTGCCTTTTGAAGAAAAACACTTCCTTTCTGACTAAATCCACTCCGCAAGCCAGACTGTGGCCACCCATAAATACAGCAGTAGCCTGATCATATAACCAGAATGGAATCTGGAAAGCGGATTCCACTTGACAGAATGAAAACATATCCCTTCATCCTACCCTTTCTCATGCTCAGAGTGCACTAAGAGCACCTCTTCTCCCCCTCCCCTTCGATTCCCTTTCGGAAAAGTGTCCAGTTGGCCCAGAACACAAGCCACTTCAGTTTGAAAAGTAGAAAGTAAACAACAAACCCTTCGCTAGCTCCAAAGACACAATTCCTTTGTGATGATAAAAGAGCAACACATGCAATTATAGTTATTATTGAAAGCTCTGTTTCACACATAGGATCTGAGACCTTGGATTTCTTTGCTGATAGTTTCACATATAATTCTCATGATAGTTAAAGATTACTATCTCCATTTTATGGATTACTAAGTGGATGACTATCTTCATTTTATCGAGGCTTTAAAGCCCACTGAGGTTAAGTGACTTATCTGAAGTCATCCCATAGATGCAGAGTTGGCTTTGAATTCAAGCTATCTAACTGAAACCTTATGTTCCTTCCACTCTGTGGTCTTGTCTCAGGCTGATTGGATGGCAACTAACACGTCGAATGGTACCTTTCAGGACCCTGGTGGAGACACTGACCAAGGTGGTAGAGCAGCCCTTGACAACTAGCATTGGTGTCTATTGATTTTATAGACTACCCTTGAAAGTGTCATTTTCCCTGATATTTAGAAAAGGCCAGCTCATGGTGGCGCAATTCCCTGCCTAGAAGCAGAGAAGTTCACATTTCAGTCCCAGGAGATGGGAGAATGAAAGTAGAGGGAACAGCCGGGTCATTATTGCGGTGACTTTCACCCCCAGAATAGTAAGCACCAAATGACTGTGGGAGCTCTGATTGAGAAAGCAGGGCGAGACCTGAGCCTTCTCTTCAAGTAAGCTGTGCTGAACAAGGACTTAAAAGGACTGATGAGGAGATAAAATGCAATCAGCATGTTCTAGCCTCGGGCAGGGAATCCCAGGACAAAGGGGAAATGGTTTTGGCTTCCAGCCAAAAATTCAGCCAAGCTACAGAAATGAGGATGTGGTTCAATCAGTTCTCTCTCTGAGAAGATCACAGGGATTCACCTGAAAGCTAATCCCAGGCCAGTCTGAACACCTTTGCCATGTGGGAAAAACACTAGTTGAAGGGTTCCACCCAAGGAGGAAGCCCCCCGCTCAAAGGTGGGTTAAAATTAACTTCCCACAAATTCTGGGGCATAATTCTATCCAATGCAGTCGGCAGGAGTGACCTTATCTACTATTAGGGGGCCAAGTAACCCTTGGGACTCTTGGGGGGAGGAAAAACATGTGCCTACCTACTTGAGTCTAACCTTGATGACCAGACTTTTATCCGCTTGTGCCCTTGAACCTAGAACTGCTTTTGCTTTTTCTATTTCCTGTTCCCTGTCTCATATTTCTAGCTTTTCCTTAGCAACAATCCAAAATCCAACACAATCATTGCTCAATTTGACTCTCCATAATTCAATTAAAGAAAAATGCCCAGGTTTAAAGCAGAGCCCCAGTGGAAAACCCCTTCCACGTGTATTTTTTTATCCTTTTATTAGGTAATTAAAAAATAATAATCATCTCATGCCAAGTTCTCTCAAATGTCTGAAGTTCTCAGAAGCTTAATTGTGCGGCCATGGTAACTCAGATAGCTTTGGTTGGTCTCAACGCTACCCAAACACCCTATGCCCAGAGCTGAAGGCAATTCCCGGGCTCTCAAAATAGACCCTTGACATGTCTTATCCTAGAGGAGAATTGATTGCTGATAACTTTTAAACACTGGGCTGCTAACCACAAGTTTAGCGGTTTGAAGCTATCAGCTGCCCCTCGGGAGAAAGATGAGGCTTTTTATTCTCATAAATCGGTTTGGTCTTAGGAACCCATGTGGGGGGCAGTTCTATCCTGTCCTATGAGTCACCGTGAGTCAGAATTGACTCAACAGCAGTGAGTGAGTTTAATATAAAAAAACAAAAACTCATTGCCCTTGAGTCGAGTCTGACTCATAGAGACCCAATAGGACAGGGTAGAACTTCCCCTGTGGGTATCAGAGACTGTAACTCCTTATAGGAGTAGAAAGCTGATCTTTCTCCCACAGAGATGCTGATGGATTTGAACTACTGACCTTGAGGTCAGCAATACAACACATAACCACTAAGCCACAATGGCAGTGACTTTTAAA